ACAAAAAAATAAACAGCACATTTGGACATTGTGCCAGTTTTAATGTCATTAAAGGAATATTTCACCCAAAAATGACAATTAGCTGAAAATACACGTACCCTCAGGGGTTTGTTTCTTCATCAGAACAGATTTGGAGAAATGTATCATTCCAGTGAATGGGTGCCGTCAGAATGAGAGTTCAAACAGCTGATAAAAACATCACAATAATCCACAAGTAATCCACAGCACTCCAGTCCATCAGTCAACATCCATCAGTTTCTCCAGATGTTAACTGATGGACTGGAGTGCTGTGGATTACTTGTGGATTATTGTGATGTTTTTATCAGCTGTTTGGAACATAATATGGGGTTGACTAGGAGGTGAATAAATGATGACAGAATTTGGGCTCAGCTTGTGGCCCGTCTGTCTGCCTCAGTCTCACCTGTCTTGAATTCGGCTGTGTTTGTGTCTGAGGCTCGTCTGAGGCCTCAGTATTGTGTCGCTGTGACACTCTCTGCGACGGGTAAAAGGAGCGAGCGCTAGCTTTGATCAGCGGTATCAGGAGAGGTTAGGCCGGGAGGTGTTTCAACTCTTTATTCCAGGAGATGAAAGCAGAGCAACAGTAGAAAATCCCGCAGAAGTGGAGCTGCTCTGTTCGCTCTGGTCGTGAGTGGAGGGGCGGAGCCTGGAACTCCCGCGGTTGCCATGGGAGACACGTCGTTCAGAAACAAGCGCTGATGGAGCGTAACAGTGGGATTCCTATTAAAATACTGTACCATTCATTTGCTCCATAGAGGAAGTGAGTTTATAACAATAACCTATAGACCAATTTAGAGTAGACGTCACAGTTACGTCACTTGCTAATTCCAAAACCTACAATATATATATATATATATATATATATAATGTCTCTGTAATAAATCCATTTGTAATACAATAGAATGGTGATACAATAGTTTTATATTGTAACATCATATTTTTTTAATTTTATTGAATTTTGTTTGTTTTTAATTAATTTCATTTTTTGTCTTATTTATTTTATTTGTTTTGGTTTTATTAAATTTATTATTTTATTTTAATTAATTTATTCTAATTTTATTTTAGTTCATTTAATAATTTCTATTCTATTCTATTCTAGTCTAATCTAGTTTATGCTATTCTATTCTATTCTATTCTGTTCCCTGTTTGTCCCAGTGGCATTTGTTTGGCCGTTGTTGAAAATCACAGAAGTTTATATAATTCCACTACCTACAATTTACAATACAGCGGTTATTTATTGTAGCATCATTTTTCACTTTTTTGCAAGTTTGCAATGCTTTGACTCATCTCTGTGACTGATATTTTACAATCCCAATAGAGCAGTAGAATAGAAAAAAATACTTCCGTAAGGAGCTCTATTCAGTGCCTGTTTTGTGTCCTGACTGCAGTACTGGAACATGTTGTTGGAGATGTAAGCGATATAAAATCCTCGTATGCGTCTGCACGCAGAATCCAGACACTTGAGAAAGTGTTGGAGGTGAGAGCCGAGATGTGCGTTCGTCCTTGCGTGTCTTTGGCAACTGAGAAAGAGCGCAGGAGAGAAAGAGACGAATAAGGGCTTCCAGAGGAAGATGATGGGTGATGAGAGACGTTTGGGATATATCTATAACAGAGGGAAACAAAATCACATCATCAAACAATAGTAAGAGAGAAATATGAGCCTACAGGCCTTAAGGGACAACAGCGCTGAAAAGCTAGACTTTGACAACATTTATCTCCATCAGGACACCTTCAGCCAGAGAGAGAGAGAGAGAGATAGTACAGTTATATGGATTAGATAGGGATTCATAGCTGGAAAAACTGTAACCTCATTTTTGTAAATAAATAGAGTAAAGTATCACATATGTGTGTGCTTACATAAACACCAGGGGATCTCATAAATAACTATGACGGTCTTGATAAAGGCGATCAAACGTCCTCTCTGTCTGCTCTGTTGTTTAATTGGTGTGTTATGTGTACTATTAACTGTGTGCTATGTACAAATAGAGTTAATCTAAATTAAGGAAAGGAAAATACTCGTAACTGTTGGTCTATGTACGTATGCATTAGAAGGATGACTTTCAACAATGTGTAGGATCTTGCCGTCGTCTTGTGCCTTGACAAGTATTTAATTTTATTTAATTTTATTTAATTATTTATTTTTGTCTCGTTTGTATTTTGTTACATTTGATCTTATTTTATGTATTTTTAATTGAAATAAATGTAAGGTTTATTTAATTTAATTTCATTTAATTTCATTTCACCTGTTTGTTTGAGTGGCATTTGCTTGGCTGTCATAGAAGATCATAGAAGGTTACTTGCTTATTTTGCTTTATTTCATTATATCTTATTTCATTTATTTTTTTATTTAAATTCATTTTATTTTGTCTTGTTTATTGTTATTTTATTTTGTTTTATTTTGCCTTATTTTATTTGTAATTTCATTTATTTTTTTATATATATATATATTTTAAATAAAATTTTTCATTTTATTTTATTAGATTTGTTATTTTATTTTTATCCTAGCTGTCGTAGAAAATCATAGATGGTTATATAATTCCTCTACCTACAATCTGAGACATTAACATGCCTGTGAGGCCCAATATAATATGATAAAATATAATATGATATGATATAATATGATTGCACAGCACTTTGGTTTTTCAGACAGCTAGAGCAGAAATACGACAAAACAGTGGTCAAATCATCCAATTTTGCCCTAAATGTTTTCCTAACAACATGATGTTTGACCTCGGTTCATAAGAGGTTGAGAAAAATTGTATCCTTACAGTTATGAAATTTCATAAGCACCCTCATGGCGTCTGAGTTAATGAGCGCTGACTAATTGGTCTCCATGAACTCTGTATAGAGGAGCACATCACACTTTCACCTTGTTCAGCTCGCCTGGCCCAAAAATAAAGAAATGAATTTAATCAGCTGTCCTGTTAACCTTTAGGAGAGGTTTTTAAACATACGGAGAGTGTAATTCTGTCAGTGTCCCACACCTTCTCTTCAGCAGCTTTCTCTGCGCTTCTACAAATGATAACAAATCTGTCCGCCTTCATCTGAGGCTTTGTCTTTGTCAGGGGCCGCATCAATACATCGATATATATCCTCTCTGTCTGCGAGTTACCGAGGGAAATAAAGCCAGATTTCGCAGCGCTTTGCTTTCTTATTGACTTTTTCTGAGCATGGCATGTTTGAGCGGACAGCACTCACAGACATTAATAAACTAGCAGCTGTAGTATTGATTTCTAAGCATACGCAATTACTGCCCGTCACATTTGTGACGAGCCTACCTTTAACTTTTGGCTGCGAGGAGGATGCTGGTATTTTTTTAAACGCTCATTATTATCACAGTCGCCCACCTAGAAGTTCAAGAGCCGTCAAGTGGAGAAATGAGAGGCTGCTTTTAATGTGTCAGAAACTACAGTCGGCTGCAAGCAGCTTGAGATGTTTAGAACAGCTTTTATGTTTTCAGCATTAGAGCGATGTCTTTTGTCTAGTTTTTCTTATTGTTTGTTTGTTTTTTGTTTTTTTTGTTTTTTTGTCTTATTTTATATTTGTTTAATTTAATTCATTTTTAATTCATTGTTTGTTTTTATTTTATTCTATTATTATTTTATTTGTATTTCATTCATTTTAATTATTTTTGTCTTCATATTTATTTTTTTATTTTCTTATTTTATTTATTTTCTTATTTTATATATTTTTTTATTTTATTATTTATTTATTACTATTTTTAGCATTTCTATTTTATTATTCTATTTATGTTGTCATTTTTATTGTTTGTTTTAGATTTTATTATATTTTTGTTTCATTTAATTGTAATTTATTTTGTCCTTTTTATTTTATTATTATTTTATTATTTATTTTTTACTTATTTTTGTTTAATTTAATTTGTAATTAATTATATTTGTCTTATTGTTTGTTTTTATTCTATTCTACTATTAGAGGGACATTCTATACGATTTTATTTGTATTTCATTCATTTTAATTATTTTTTGTCTTATTATTCTTTCCTTATTTTATTTTATAAAAATAAATAAAAATAAAATAATTTTCTTTCAGTGTAATGATTCTTTTGGTATCTGTCCCACTTAATACTAAATACACTGAAGAAAATGGAGTACAATTTACTTTTAAAATGCTAGGAAACAATTTTCATTCAGAAATTGCCAGTAAATTTCACAAATTATTAAAAAAAACAAAAAACAGATTTAATTAAAAATGAAATTCTCGGCTAAAAATAATAAAATAATATTTATAGGCTCCAGATAATAGTATTCCAATAATGTTTTATTTTACTTTGGGGAAAAAAAAGAAAAGATTATTATTATTATTATAATAAAGATTATTATTTCTACATTGTAAAATAATGATTTCCAAGTTTTACCGTTTTTTTGTTTTGTTTTTTATTTCATTTTATTTTTTATTAAATAAATCATTAAAAACAACTGTCATTAATGTACCATTATTACAACAAACGTCTGTTGAAAAGAGTTTGTGTCGCAGACAGAATCAGCGCTCGCAACTAAATAATGATGACGCTAATGTGACATTTCAGATAATGGGTTTGTGTGGCATTCTGTGCAGATGTGTTGGAATTAAAAGCTGCTCACAGATTGAACGCGCTGTAATTGCTGTTGATAAATGATAAAGTGGAGCTCGGATCCTTTTCTGTTCAGTTCTGTCAAATGTTAACCACGATGGCTTTAAAACTCAATTAAATGTCTGTAATTATCCTCAGAAATCACAGTATCCATCTAACTGCGATATTTGATTGGTATTTGGAATCTGTGATATTGATGTTGATAGTACTTGATACTGGATTACAAAATAAATAAATAAATGATATGATATGATATGCATACAGTTTGATCCCTTCCTCCATACGAGTCGCTCAGAGCATGGACACTGAGACAGTTCTGTCGTTCTGTGATTGTGTGTTTGATGCTGATGATGCTGATGAAGCTGATGAAGCTGATGTCTGTCGTCTGCAGCTCAGGGTCTGGTGTTTCCTCCGCTGGCGCTCTGGCTGACCGTGGCTCTGGCCGTGTGTTTGCTGGCTCTGCTGGTGGCTCTGGCCGTCGTCTGCCGCAGGAAGATCAGAGAGAGCTGTGAGGAGATGAGAGCCGGTGAGGAACACATTCTGGCTACACAAGACTTTCTAACTAACAAGAGAATGTTTCAGTGGTCCTTTTTAATGGACACCATGTAGTCAAACACATTAGTCTTTGCTCCTAGAGGCTCAGATTAGTGTGTATTTTTAGCTGTATGCATCCAACAGTACTATAATGGTGAGTATATGTCAACTTAATAGAAAGTAAATATTTTCCAGAAGTATTTATTTTACACATAAAAGTGTACATATGTGCTTTGATTTTAGGAGGGCTGTCCCTCACAAGGGAATAATCATGTCGGGTGGTCTGTGGCCTCAGAAAGTTTCAGTAATAATGTGCAAACTCTCAGGCTGCACGCAGTGTGTAGTTGTTCTGCATGGCTGTGTTCAGAGCTCTGAGCTGATGCTAAAGCCAGAGGAGTCCTTTCTGCCAACACCCCACTCTCCTCCAGTGCTGCTGAAGTTCATTAGCGCCGCCAGATAATTAGTCGCGCTGCGTAACAAGGGAGCGCAGAACTTGGAGGTTGCAGTGACAGGAAGAAAGACTGATGTGTGGAGGAGAAGCGCTGGCAGAGAGATATTGCTTTGGTGTCACACCGCTGTAATGAGATCTGTGTGTGGAGCAGGAGACATTTACATAAAGGTCATTGCAGCGCTGCATGGGACCCTGGGCTTTTAAAATACATCTGCAACTGCGAGACAGAGAGCAGAGAAAGAGTGAACATCTGGCTGATCCACTGCACTCCTGAAACCTGGGACTGTAATTAGACTTCTTCATGTCTGGCTCTTACTTGAGGACATGTGATCAGCTTTTAGTCAACAGCCTTTTCAGTTTTTGCATGGCTAATGTTTTATTGCTTGGTTTATTAGAACATTTATTAATAAATTAATTGCATGTAAATAATAAACACACACACACACATTCACACACACACACACACATGTGTGTGTGTGTGTGTGTAATTATATAAATAGATAAAATTAAACAGATAAAAAAAGAATAAAAAATTATAAATATGTGTAACTATATAAAATAGATAAAATATAATAGTTTATATAAGATAAATAATTATATTTAATAGCTTCAGTAATATTCATTGTATAACTTTTTTAAAGAATAAACAAATATGAAAATAACTACAACTAAAAACTATATAGACATGTTTTTAAAAACTAAAAGTGTTAAATGGAAAATATTTACTTTCTATTAAGCTGACATTATATTCTTTTTATACTCACCACTATAGTACTGTTAGATACTGTACATACAGCGAAAGAGAAACCATGGATATTAATATATAATAAAATAAATTAGTATTTTTTATTTATTTAAAATTATTTATTTTATTTTAAATAAATTTTAAGTATGTATTTATTTTTCTCAATTTATTTTACAAATTTTTCTTTTAAAAATCAGGCATAGCCAGGGTTATTATAAAATTATAAAAATCAATAAAAAACTATATAGACATACAAAAAAAAAAGCCCACAACAAATAATACAGAAAATATTTTTAAAAAATCTAAATGTTAATAAAAACGATAATACAATGTCATACTAAAATAACACTGGGTGTAGCATGTTGCATAGCACACTTGCATTTTCCATGAACCTAAATAAAAAAGTATGTTGATCTTGTCATAATTGTCTTTTTATTGGCTGCATGATCTATTTACCAACACTGAGCTGGTTTTGCGCTGGCTGGCTGTGTGAAGAGAAACAGGTGGGGATGCCATGCTAAAACAACAACAAAAAACAAGATTGTCAGTCTGGGAAGTGTACAGTAGACTGTAGAGAAAGCAGATTGTAAAGTGTGTGCTTGACGAAGCTTGATCTTTTCACATGGATTTTCTCCTGCAGGCCACAAAGGTTGAATGTTGGCAAATCGAGACATTTTCAGATCTTCCTGAACTGCGTTTTTCTCAGTGTCTGTGAATGCATGTTTGTGTTTGGAGACTGTAAACTCATTCCCTCTCATCCGTTTTCTCTTTACAGAGGAAGAAGCCAAAGAACTCGAGGAAGCCAAAGAATTAGAAGAAGCCAAATCAGGTCAGTGACTTAGAAGTAGAAATCTATACACAAGTTACGACTTGAATATATATTAAACTGTAATTTATTTCTGTGATGCGCAGCTGTATTTTCAGCATCATTACTGCAGTCTTCAGTGTCACATGATCTTCAGAAATCATTCTAATATGCTGATTTGCTGCTCGAGAAACATTTCTGATTATTATCAATGTTGAACACAGTTGTGCTGCACAATATTTTTGTGGAAACTGATACTTTTTATTTTTCAGGATCTTTGATGAATAGAAAGTTCAAAAGATCAGCATTTATTTGAAATAGAAATATTTTGTAACATGATACACGTCTTTACTGTCACAGAAATAAATTATATTTAAAATCAATTCAAATAGAATAGAGTTATTTTAAATTGTAATAATATTTCACTGTTTTTACTGTATTTTTGATCAAATAAATGCAGCCCTGGTGAGCAGAAGAGACTTCTTTTAAAAGCGTTAAAAATAATAATTCCAATCTTTTGAGCGTTAGTGTAAATGTACAGAGCAATAGTTGTGTGTTCACATAACAGATGTAAAAGTCTCCACTGCGAATAGCAGAAGATATGATGAATTCTATACATTAAACCGGGCCGATTTCTACCTTTTTTTTTTTGAAGATATCTCTTGTATTAATGCTCTCTATTCTGGGCTCTGGCTCAACAGTCAAAACAAGAGTCATGGTTGAGTCTCTTCATGACCCTCAGTGGCGCTGTAGCAATTCTGATATTTAACGCGACTGGATGAAATGTGACGGGAAATGCGAAGCGAATGTGAAGAGCGTAATAATAGGACTCTAGCACTAAATAGATTTGATCTCTTTCAGCTGAAATCCTTCTTTAGTCCTCTGATGGTGATCCAGAGCTCTCGGTGAGCGTTTGTGTCTCTCTCTCTCTCTCTCTCTCTCCTCTCTCTCTCTCTCTCTCTCTCTCTCTCTCTCTCTCCCCTCTCTCTCTCTCTCTCTCTCTCTCTCTCTCCTCAGTAGGGCTGTCAAAAAAAAAAAAAGAATTTCGAATATTCATCGAATTTCAAATAAAAATCCACATTTGAATGGAAAAACGTTGCATTCGAATTTTAGGTGTGCATCAGTCAGGCTTATCAGCGGAGCACGAGATGCGATGGCGATGTAAGTGTCATTGCATTATAATGTTTGTGTTAATCTATCCAGTTGAAGCCACTAGATGTGGCGCTGCTACGTTGTTCATTCAAAATATTGCGGGGAAAAAAAGAACATCAATGCGAAGATGTTGTTTACGTCAAAACCGAAACCAAACCGTTCACACAGAACGCATATTTATCACATTTTCTA